AGACATGGGACCTTCTCAGCGTGATGTATTTTGGTTTCACTGGCTTGGATTCAATTTTCATTGAAAGGCACCCAGATAACTACATATCACCACTGAGAATTAATGGAAGTGCTGTTGAGACATTGTTTTCACAGTTTAAGGCTCGAGCCGGAGGTAAACTAACTTCACTAAGCTATGAGACGTTACTGAGGAGTTATTTGACCAAAAGAAACCTGGCACCAAAAACTATTCATCTCAGTGCAAGAGACTACAGAGATGTGGAACTTAATATATCACATGCACCAATGATGAGAAAATCCAAGAAAAAATAGAGAGTGCATATTTGCATATAAGAGTTTTAGTAGAGTATAGTGTATCGAGCAAAGGTACAAGTATTGAGTGTAACCTAGCTGCCCGATTGCTGCTTTCCCACGAGAGGGTGCATGACGCTCGTTGCTCCTAACAGTAACATCACAGGAATGGAGCCTGGTATGGTATATTAACATGAGAGTGACGTTGTATACAGTACACTCGCTATGAAAGTTCTGTTAATTGATGCTAACTTGCGCAACAGCGTTATTTAGCGTATATTCACATCGCAGTGACTTGACAAAACCAAATGTGACATTGTATCTTAAGGCTAGGCTGCAGCTCTGTTACTTATCGAAACTGCTGATATTGCACCAAATTTTAATTTCGTTTTCACTTGTACGTCAATAACTATGTTTAACGACAATGATCTAGTTTTATTTTGGCACCAAAGTTGGCCTTTATGACCACATGGTTGAAGTTATGTAAATTTTACATTAACACAACTATACAAATTGTCTCGTAGATTAAAACCTCCTTTTGTAGTGGTGAAGCCCTCACTTTCAGCCTGAATTTGTATGAATGCAGATACAAATTCATTTAGTCTCGCATGCACAAACTTTTTCTGCCACATACTGAAGTGTTCCATCATGAGTGTGTGTCGAACAGCTTCCACAAAGATGGTCTTCAAACTGCTTGATGCTTGTACCTGAGGAATGGTCAGCTAAATGAACCAAGTTGATATGTTGATCGAAATCAATGAAATCAAGAGGTCATTAACATATAAAATGGGCTCTTTATATAATTAATAGGTTGTTGATAAAATGGATATGCATGTTTGTGCTTAATGGGTATATATTAAATAAACCCATGATTGATATATATATATATATATATATATATATATGTGTGGTGTTCAGTATCAGTGATAAGAGTGTGCGACATAACGTAGACGATAGAACCGGCACAGGCAAAATTTAAGATTTCGCAACAGATATGTTGTAAGCGTGGTTGATATTATAGTGGATCTTATTAATCTGAATTTTCTACTTTTCATTGAACGATATTTTTGAAACTTTGTATGCGAGCATTAGCAAACTCGTTAGTACATTACAGCTGCACACAAGTGTTACTGAATGTTCAGAGTCAGATGGTCAGTTCTATGCAGGGGAGGATCTAGCTTTCAGGAGACGGGGGGGGGGTTGTTAATATTTGAGTGAAGGCGTGCCAAAGGCACGCGGTGCTAAGGAGTAGAGTGCCCCCACCAGTATCATAACATTAGTCAGTGGCTGCCCGGAGGGGGCGGGGGAGTGCACCCACCCCAACCCCCTCTAGATCCGTCACTGACTGCTCTTTCCCCGTCCTGTCCTAGTAACATCTCGTTTGGGAGGCGATATTGGAAGACGTCACATCCTGTCGTCATATCCAGTGTTTTGCTACAGCGAGGGCATAATATTGGTTATACAATACCAAGAGGCCCAGCCCCGATGCCATTACCCTTGTTCTTGCACGATAACAAAAAGGCCAGAACCACCGTCACCCAGTAATTTTCCTGAGTGTTACTTAGTTCAAAATTGGCATCAATAATCATTTCCTGGAAATTTGCTGATATTTTTCATGGTTATTAGTAGTAAACAGTATGCTTGTATTTTCAGAATTACTTGCTGTACAGCAACATGATGCAGAGTTTTCGTGGAAATACATTCAAATCCCTTGGACTTCAGCAATCAACAGGTGTGCAGATTAACGAGGACCTTATTCCAGTAGAAGCCGTTGCATTCACTTCAGAGATCGGAGAAGGGTCAGTGGCACGAGTGTACCAGGGTTTATTTAACACCTCAACTGTAGCATTAAAAAAGTTCAAACTAGGAAAAGATATTCCAAAGTATGAAGAAATGCTAAGAAAATAAGCTAAAAACTTACTCTGTTTGTTTTGGCCTGTTTGGGCATTTGCATACCTGAGATGACTCTTGTATTAGAATTCTGTGTTAAGTCACTGGAAATAAATGGTCAATCAGTCATGTGCTATACAGTACGTCAAATGATATATGCTATTGGAGATGCACTACCAGAAGACCTAAAATTAGAAGCATTAGATCAGACAGCACATGGAATGGCTTATCTTCATCAAAACGATATTGTTCATTGTGACCTGAAATCACAAAATATTCTGGTGAGTTCTGGCAAGACTTGTGCAGATGAGTGGGTTTTTAAGGTTTCAGATATGGGAGAGGCTCGTTCAATCCTACATACAACCTACATGTCCACCGTTTCACATACAAATAGATGCAGTTGGCACATTGCCATAGCAAGCTCCAGAACTGCTGCATGGAAATCCACACTACAACACACCAGTTGACATTTACTCTTTTTCAATGGTGATGTACGAGTTAGCTCATGTAGATCAGCACTATCTTTGGCAAAAAGATGCAAACTGCACACAAATCTGTACTAGTCTGGTGTTGAATGGTGTAAGACCAGAAATCAACATCAACGTTCATGGCATGTACGCAAAGTTAATGACGCATTGTTGGAACCAGGCCCCTACTATGCGACCACCATTTACAGAAATAATAGGAATACTGACACATGCAGAAGATGACACTATAAACCAGTGCTTTCTCGTCTAGCAAATCACTATCTAATGTGGAGCCAGCACAGGAAGCATAATTTAATACTCAGCAGTCTCAAACGGACACAGGTAAAGTACAAGCTGATAGCCAGAAGATGTCAGAATTGGAACCAGCAACAAATGCCCAGCCCAGCAGCCAGCAGCCATCTTTAGTATATCCAGCAAAAGAAGCACAACTCGACACTCAGCCGTCTCAAATGGACACAGGAATAGAACCACCTGATAGCCAGATGTCAGAATTAAAACCAGCAACAAATGCACAGCCCAGCAGCCAGCAGTCATCTTTAGTATATCCAGAACTAGACCCGATGCAAGAAAAATGGAGTAATGATCGTAAGCGCATTGTTGTGCACAAAGGACGCGCATTTTTTGCGGGAAGGGCGCACGCGACCGCAAATATTTTAAAACACATACGTGAGCCATTGTTAATGGATCCGTGCGCCGAAATGTGAGGCCGGGCGCACGGATCCATAACAGGGAGGCAGAGTGGTGAAGTATGGGGCGATTGGTGACACGCTTTGCAAATGAAGACTGTGTTTCCCCGTGTTTCCTCACAAGATCCCTGTGTTTTGCTGCAATCACGTATCAATAGTTTGTAATGTAATTTAAAACGCAAGAGAACCGTAAAACATGAATGCATACACAAATCATCACTTTTGATGTTTGAAATGCTACAAAACCTCAAAACATGGATAAATACACAAATCATTAGCTGTGGCGTGTGCCCCAAATAACAAACCTTGAAATATTTCCCAAACATGCGGGAAAGGGATCGCACATGGCCAAAATCATTTCTGTAATTCCATCAGTTTTGAGATTGTATCACCTCTTTGACGTCGGCAGACAAATGGTTGGATTATATGAGCAGTATACTGTGACAGTGCAGCTCCGTTAGCCCAGAAATCTAGAGGGAGATAACCCATTCAACATACTTGCTGTAGATACTGCAAACTGGCCCATACACATTATCCTATAAGACATTAAAGGACCAGGCTCTTTGCGCGCAACTTGATTGTTTATAGATGGCGAAATGGTTTTCTCCCGGGCGTTTACTCGCCGTGAAACTGCTGCGGCCGAGAACTGATAATTTTTGAGTTTCGGTCCACTAGATGGCGATACCAGCAGTATAAACAAACTGGTTTGCGCGTGGCGTGACTACGTCGCTGCGCGAGCGTACCATTTCTGTTTTCAAAGTTGAGTCGACAGTGGTGGTTGTTCAGTGCTTATTGTCGTCTCTGTATGAGTGTTTTCGACAAAAATGGGTCGTCCCAAGAAGTATTTTTCGGAAGAGGACCGTCTTCGTGCTAGACGGGCAAAATATAGTACTAACATTAGTAATATAGCAAACAGCGTTGAGATTCCCGAATCCATGGAAGACTGGCTGTTTTGGAAGACAACCGGCGAGTTTGAAAGCGAACCTTGTGTGATGTGACAGGTGCCAAATTTTATGCACTGCTATTTGATGAATCAACAGACGTGAGTGTTACTCAGACTTTGATGATCTAAAAGCGTCGTGAAGCCGAGCATGCCAGAATGATTCCTGGTATGCAGCGGAGCTTCATAACGCGAGATGCCTGGACCAAGTTGAACGTTAGACCAGCCAAAATAATGCAGGTACTGACTGATGTTTACTTGCATAAATCACAAATTTTATTACGCTTCAGCATGGTACCTATAGATACCATATATATATACCAATATTCAGAAAATGCGTATTTCTTAGGCCAAACCAAAAAATAGGTGTGTTTCCTATTGCATCAAAAACAAAAGTAGGGTAGGTAGGTAGGGATATCTATTTTTATTTTTATTTATTTATTTTTTTGGTTCTTAATATCCCTCTAATGCATGCTATAAAGTGGTTTATAGGTAGGGGTAAGTTAGTAAGCAAGTCCAGAACGTGTTTGTAGTAAAAAATCTCATGTTTTGTCTGTCAGATTTCAAATTAAAAAATATTTTTATTTTTTATTTTTTTGATGGAAAAATTTTAGGGTCGGCCATAATAATCTAGGGACGGTCGGTCTACCGGAAACACCTTTTTTTGTTTGGCCTTATAGTGTTAAATATATTATATTGTAACAGTAAACATTACTATGCAAGCACTTTGTGTATCCCCGCACATCTCTTCGTGCGTCGTTCGCATTCATGCGGTGCAGTGCGAATACATTTTAAACAATCTAATGACTTATATCCTGATCTGCAAAAATGGACTTACAGCAAGAACATGTGCTTATGGAGTTGGAGAGCTATGCACAACCAGACGAGCCGACGGCCATACCTCGCGAGAGCAAATCCGTGATGGCTACGCATGGCTATTTGGCAGCATGCAACCCAATGTTTGAGCGCGGTTTATTGTCACATCAAAGAGTGACTGCTCAAAATCAACACGTTCTGCACAACATCTTGGAAGGATATCGCTACTTCGAAAACTGGACTAAAGAATTGGAAGGTAATGCATGCAACTCATGTTCCATACAAAGCAAGTGTAACGTATTAAATTCTGTAAATGAAAAAGCTTTACAGGTGTGCATATCACCTCTGTATGAAGGTAATGATGTATACTTGAACTGTAATCTCTTTACCTATAATTACCCTAATTCTTAATTGCTACCTTCAGATATGAGCGACTTCCAACCTAACTCCCCCAGAGAGAGACGATTTCTGGCATGGCAGACGTGGGATTTGCTCAGAATTGCAGTGTCTGGATTCCAGGTTGTATGTGCTGATTTCTTGAGTAGGCATTGCGATAAACATTACATTTCCCCGCTACGCATCAACGGCAGCGCAGTGGAAAGTCTTTTCTCAAGGCTTAAAGCTTACACAGGTGGTAAACTCACATCTATAAGCTACCAGACATCTAGAAAAAGTATTATCATACAAGATGAGACAAAACACCCTAGTATCGAGGGATACCGAGACGTACCGTTATTCTATCACTATGATGGTTGAATGAACAGGTTGACCGATATCATGCATCATAAACTGTAATTTCGGGTTCGATTAGTAGATCCTATTGTAAATGCCATGCAGAAAGTTTACAGTTGCTTTTTAGCCAAGCAGTAAAGTTCATCGCGCAAGGTAAAGCCACTCCTTTTGTTTGGACTCCTAGTGTACAAGCGTCATTTGATACATTGAAATATGCTCTTGTTTCGGCGCCTATTCTAGCACTCGCAGCGCCGGATCGTGATTTTGCATTATACTGCAGGGCCCTCGCTACCCACTCGCCAATTCGCCAATGGCGAACAAATTAGTAATCTGGCGATTGAAAGTCTTATTTGGCGAAAAAAATGACGAACGTAATTTTCCCTTAATAAACAGCAAGCACAAGCCACGATGTGCACAGCCACGGACGTGGGTAACACAGGCACTTGAAGCGTTTCAACTGTAAACACGCCGCCGCCATTGCGCGCACACTGACACATAAATATATAGTTATGTTTATACTATATATTATAATCAGTCCTTGTCCTTGTCATCGCGCGCCATCGCGCGCCTCGATTGATCAGGAGAAGTGCGAAAAAACGCACACCTCGCGTGCTGAAACGTTTTTGCAACGCGTACGGGAACCACGAGATGCAAATGACTTGAAGTTGCATGTACTATTGCTGCAAGTCATGACATTGTTTTCAAAATGTGAACACCAGTTGTGTACTGGTGTCGTGTACTGGTATTCGTGTCGTGTACTGGATAGTAGTGCTAGGAATCGCTCCAAAAACGGAGCTCGATTAACCGAAGTGTAAAACGGCTCTGGTGCCGCATATAGCAGGATAGCATGCGTATACTACGATCGATCGCGTACATCAAAGCCGGCCGCCGCGCCATACGACCTTCAGGCTCGTTTATGAACTAGCCGGCCCAGGCTCTATACGACTGTTTCACGTTGTAGGATTCTAGGAAACGTAGGTAGGAACTGTTTCACTTCTCGCCAACGAAGTTCTGGTTATAAATATTTTGGCTGCTTTTACTTTGGCGTGAATGCGTGAGAATACGTAGGGCATGCGGGAGTGCGGGAGAATGGGTCCAGATGCGTGAGTCTACCGCGAAATGCGCAGCGTGAGACTTAGTAGGTCTGCTAACAAAGTAAGATTTAAACTAAAAGTAAAAAATGAAATTTTATTTTCGGGGTGCATCAAATGCAGTCCAAGACATTCAAATTTGTAAAATTTTGTTGGGGGAGACCCCCAGAACCCCCTCTACCTCTCTTCGTGTGTGTGGTACTGTAAAACGAAAACGAAACAGAAAATGAGACACATGATAAACACAACAATCATCACGTGCCAACAATCAGCAGTCAGTGGGCGGTCGCGGTTGCTGGCATGTTATAACGCGTTAACAGCGCTAGCAGTGAACACTTTCGTTCGGAGGAAAAAATCGAAACAAAAATGCCACCCGTGAAGCCGAAAATCCCAACGAAGAGAAAAATAAAAGTTGAATGGTTTGCAAAATTTAAATGGCTGAAACTGAACGATGGCAAATTCTACTGTCAGTTGTGTATTGATGGAGGAAGGGACAACATCTTGACGGCAGGGAAGTCGACTCAGGCACCAAAGTTAGACGATTTTCAGAAACACGAGAAAACCGTGGATCACAGGTTTGCAATGTCAGCCAGAACGGAGAAAGTCACTGGAGCCATGGAAAAGGCGACCGCCCGTGCTTTTGACAGTATTAAGGAGGCAGTTATTGCCGTAATGAAGAATGTTTATTTCACAGCCAAAGAGGACATGGCGAAAGCAAAAGTTGAGAAACTGAACAAGCACTGTCTTTTCATGGTATGAACATTTATTTATTTATTGGGGGGGGGGGTTGATATATTTTCACTGGTGCAATTTTGAATCTAAATTTAAACAGTTTAATTATTTTGAATCTACTAGCAAAAAGTGCAGGAAAGTTTACACTTTTTTTTCTTAGACTGACATTCAATTTATACTTTTCAATATCATCACTAAGCAGCCTGGCGAGAATTAAAAATTACTACAGGTCAATTTTATTACTGCAGCATCATGTCATATTGTGATTGATCTTTTATTTTGTGTTTCAGGGGTGTAAATCTCTGGAACCCATGACTGTTGATGACCGGGTGAAGTACAGTTCATATGATTCAGTGAATGATATGCTAGATGTCATGGCCAGTGGAATAAAAACTGAAATATTGTGTGATGTGACAGGTGCCAAATTTTATGCACTGCTATTTGATGAATCAACAGACGTGAGTGTTACTCAGACTTTGATGATCTACATTCGTTATGTCAGCAAGGGTAGGCTGATGAGTAGATTTCTTTCTGTGTCGGCCTTGCATGGATGTACTGCAGAAGACATTCACAAAGCCGTTAAAGAAACCTTGTCAAATGCTGGACTGCCACCTTCGTCCATGATAGCTGTAGGAACGGATGGAGCCAGCACCATGACAGGGTCCAAAAGTGGGGTCACCACACGGATGAAGGATGAAAATCCTTTCCTGATGTCTGATCACTGTGGGGCTCACAGACTTGCCTTGGCAGCAGGACAAGCCGCTAAAGTTGTTCCATATCTTGTGTCCTATCAAGAAACTGTAAATGCTCTCTGCAAATTGTTCAAATACAGCCCGAAACAAAAATCTGCACTAAAAGAAATCCAAGGCTTGGTTAATGATGATCAGCTGACTTATCATGAGGTTTTTGAGACTAGATGGTTATCATTCAACAACTGTGTTCAGGCAGTCAGGAGAACATTAGATTCTCTGCTTACTTATCTCTCTTCATGTGACAAAAACAATGCTAAAGCAAAGGGTATTTTGAAGAAGGTATCCAAGTTCAAGTTCATTGCAACAACACACCTACTGGCGGATTCTCTGGTTATTTTGTCACAGCTCTGTCTTGTTTTACAGAAGAGTAAACTGCTGTACAGTGACATGGTGATGCATGCCAAAGCTACTATTTCAGCTCTAACAAACCTAAAAGATCATCTTGAAAATGGTGCTCATTACAAAGAATTCAAAAGCACACTGCCAGAAATTCAAAATCTTCAGTGTCAAACCAGCTTTGATTTGCATGGCCATGCCATTTCTTACTCGACAAAACAAGCTGAAGAAGCTGAATCTTGTGCCAAGCAGTTTCTCAATAATGCCATTCAAAACCTTCAAAGCAGGTTCTTGTCAGAACAGAGCAATAGCAAACTGTTTGCTATGTTTGAGGTGCTTGTTCCTGGTAAGATGCCACCATCAGAAGCTGATCTTGGCTTGTATGGCCAAACTGAAATTGCATATTTGGCCAAGATTTTTGGTGCTGACAAAACCAACAAGCAAGGTGATCTCTGTCACGCTTTAGTAGATGCAACAGCCATGGTGTCAGAGTGGCAGCTGTTTAAGTATTTCATGTTCAGTCACACAGGCCAGTCATTTGCAGACTTCTGGTGCATGGTCTTAATGCAGCACCAATCTTCTTACCCAAACATCTCTCTGATGGGCCAGCTGTTTGTGACCCTACCATCCACAACAGTTGATGTGGAGAGGGGTTTTAGCAGACATAATTTGGTGAAAACAGCACTGAGAAATAACCTCAAAACAGAAAGTGTTTGTGACATTCTAACCATCAAAATTGAAGGCCCAGAAGAAGAGATGTTTGACTTTGAAAAGTGCTATGTTAAGTGGTGTGCCAAAAAAGATAGGAGAATTTTCCTGCCAGCAGTAAAGGAAAAAATTCAGACAATTTGAATGTCTTGTTCATGGTGGTGAATCGTAGTGTTAGTGTCTCCGTCATAGACAGGTGGTGTTTGTTTGCATTAAATATGTGTAGTTTTGTACTTCATGCATATAAAAGTTTGTGAAAAAATAAAGAAAAGAAAAATTATTTATCGCCTTTTTGTGTTCATAAAATGTTGGGCTACAGATGTGGCTAACAGGAATCCAAATTGGCTAATGAAAATTGATTCTGGCTAATTGTTTGGCTACAGAAAAAAAAATCCTAGCTAGGGCCCTGATACTGTGATGCGTCATCGCACACGGTGGCATCAGTATTAACACAGATTGCTTTGGATGGGAAAGAGCATGTAATTATGTATGTTTCTAAACAGCTTACAGGTCCGCAGTTGAATTGGCCTATTGTGGAAAAAAGAGGCGTTCGCGATTGTCTATTCGCTGACACGGCTGCGTCCCTTCGTACAAGGTAATCGGTGTATCGTCTATTCCGATCTTTAATATCGGCTAAGTCACTCAGTAATGCTAGATTGCAAAGGTGGGCGGTTATCCTTTCACAGTATGATTTAAGGATGCAATATATGCAGGGGAAACTTAATGAACAAGTCGATGCACTATTGCGCCTGCAGACGTCGCCGGGTACCAGTTTCGTCGATGAGGCAATGCAGGAATTGGACGAAATGTGTTTTTTGGTCGACACGATAGAAAATGAACATCCCAGCGATGTTGTTGTAACGGTAGCTGATACTCACGTCACTGACACCCTAGTTCCACTCACTGATCCTATTCGCTTTCGTTTATTGCAGCAGCAGGATTTAAACTTGGCACTGATTATTGATGTTTTACAGAAGGCACGGATTTCATTACGGCAGTTGAAGCGTGTGGAGTCATATTACATGGAGGAGGGTTTGCTTTGTCATTTGTCAACACAGACGAATGCTCATATGCCACATTGTCAAGTTGTCATACCGTGTGTTTTGATACAGGAGGGAATGGCTGCTTGCCATTCCGATCAAGGTCATTTGGGATTTGATAAAACGTATAGCAAGATGGCTGAGCGTTATTACTGGCCTCGCATGTACCCGCAGATATTGAATTTCGTTAAGTCATGTGTACCTTGTAATTCTAGGAAGCTGCGAAGGATTAATGCACCATTGCATGAAGCTCCTATTCCGACGGCGGTTAATGAGACAGTAAGCATAGATTTGATTGGTCCACTTCCCATGACAGATAGAGGAAACCGATATATAGTGACATTCGTCGATTTATTTTCAGCATACCCTGAGTGTTATTGTGTGTCAAATAAGTCTGCAGCAACGATAGCAGATTTGATAATTAACTCATACATCCCTACTCATGGTTGTCCTTTGCGTTTCTTAACAGATCGTGGTCTAGAATTTTGTAATCATCTGATGAAACGTATCTCGGATACATTTCGGATTCATCACGTTAAAACAGCACCATTCCACCCTGCATCCAATGCTGTTTGTGAAAGATTTCACAAAACTTTGAATTCGTTTCTAGCTTGCGTTATTGACCGGTTGCACGTAGCGTGGGATGACAAGTTCGGCCCTATCTTATTTGCATATCGAACAGCGGTACACGCTACTACGGGCTCAAGTCCATTTTTTTAATGTATGGGAGAACACCTGTCTTACCCTTCGATACACTCTTGCGTCCCCGTGAACGTACGTATGCAACTGATCCTGTGTCTGTAACCTTAGATACAATGCATGAAGCCTGCACATACATTATTGAGCATGAATTACAAAAGAAAATCAGTGAGCAACAGATTGTTAAGATGATAAGATATATTGAGATTGAAACTGGTAGAAAGCAGAATGTAGAGAATATTTCAAGGGAATGGGTTGAAAAGAATGTTAGAGTTAAGCAACATATTCAAGACATCGATAGAATATTTAATGGAACAAAAGGGAAAATGCGTACACTAGATGAACAGATTGAATCAATTGTTAGTGCAGATACAAAAACGACTATAACACAGAGGAAAAAGACAGCTTCTCAGATTAAAAAATCATACAATGTTATTGCATCTGAAGAAGTTGATAGGCCATTGGATGGAGATACTACTTATATATATTATTATAAGGGATTAGCTCGATCTATTTTACGATTCGTTCCGAGTGTGCATGGGATTAATAAAGAAGTATAGTGTTAATCCAATTTGGGATTATATACTCAGCGAATCTAATAGTCAAAAGAAGGGAAAGAAAAATGCTGATAACCGTATCAAACCGGTGCAATTCTCTGATTGGCTTAAAAATAATAAACAAGATATTCAAGTGATGATACAATCTATTCATTAGAAAGATTACATCACGTTACAGCAGCCTTTTAATCTCTATTTAGGGAATGATGCTAGTAGATTGATTAATATTTCCATGGAGACTGTTCCTGAGAAGTTTAATGTTTTAGATCATTTTGAAATCATGGATGATGAGGATCATCAGAGAGAAATGATATTAGATGGGACTGGTTTAGAGATGTTAGATAATGCTCAATCTGCTGGTGAGAAGATTAGTGAAGGAGAGAGACTCGTTTATACAAAAAGTATGTATGATGTTAATATAGAAAAAATGGTTTTTAAGAAGGTTTTCAGCGGAAGTGAGTATTACAGGTATGACACCTCTAATGGATGAAGTGGTAAATATTTTATTTCTAAATTGGGATAGCATTGTAAAAGCAGAGCCATCACTTCAAATAGTAAGGCAGGATTTAATTAATTTCTTTGCTGATTATGGAACTCATGCAATGTTTAATTATCAGATGTCAAGGAATGAAATGCGAATAAATGTTAATGATCATTTGTTAGCTCACAAGGTGGTAGAGAGTACTTTAATTGAAACAATTTATACATATAATATCCAAGATGAGTCCTTTAAGAGCGTTTGTATAATGTTGGGTAGACTTATTCTAAGAGAGCCGATTTTAGGTACAGGTATAATAAAGAAGACAACAACAGTAATGAAGCAAAGCAGCTAATGTATAACGAGGGGTCAAAGATTTGACAGAAAACTCTTTAAGAAATTTAATTATAATGATTTTAATGGAAAATTGATACTTGAGGGCAGAGAGATTTTGTCAGATGCACCTACATTGTTAGCTTCAGAGCATAAAAGTGAATTGAGTGAGCTGCGTAATGTCAATATATTGATATTAAATAAAATGTGTGGTGGACTTTATTCAAAGAAAGATTTGATTGATGTTGTGGAACTTTCAGATTTCTTAAATTTAGAAGGAGATGCTCAAAAATATCTTTCAGTTTTAACGACTATTGAAGATAATGGGATATGCCAGTTCGGATATATTGTCAACTTTCATAGATAGCAATGAGGGAATTTCATTCACTGGTGTTGATCAATGTGGTAAATATTTGTATGATTCAGTTAAAGATCAAATTATGGCGGCTAATGATGATCCAGGGCACCACTGGAGGTAACATGGGAAAGAAACGAACACAGGCTAACATCGCTGAGCATTTCTAGTGGCGAAGCATTACTGAAGATGTTAAACACTGGGTAAATTTCTCGAGGCATTATTACTTATTAGGTAATACGACATCCATTATTAGGAACATAAATTCTTATCAAACGTTAAAAAATCATTCCATATATTAGTGTAGTAGTTTATGTTTGTTGCAGATATCCACATATTCGTATTAAAAGTTAACCAATAGCCTTCATTCCAGATGTTGGATGTTATTAAAGTATATTCTGTCTGTTGTAGATATCCACATGCCCCCAATGCCAGAAGGTGCACAAAATAAAAACAATAGTGCCTGAGCTGACACCTATTTATGTAAGTGATGCTGCAATTAAAAGGGAACAGTTGCCACAAATGTTGTTATCCTGTCAAAACAAGCATTACATGAGATAGCTATATTGCTACTTATCTCAATTTATGATTCACCACTTGGGAAGAATTCATAACTAGTAAAATAATTCATTTAGAACTTGTGGTACGAGGATAACAATTTAATAATGACGGGACCGCTCACCATAACAGCCATTTGCAGTATATACAAAATATTGAAAGAAAATTCAGGAAAGGATCATTTAAAGAGTGTCATAAAATTAAATTTATTTGCTATACTTGGCAGGCCAGACAGCCTTGTTGGCATCGACTTAGTTGGACCTTTCACTGAGACCAACCTTGGCCACAAGTAGGCCCTATGTAGGGACAGCAACTTGCCTGTTCTCAAAGTGGGTGGAGGCTGAACGAGTCTGTGAAAAGACAGCTGACAGTGTCTTACAGGCCTTGACAAAGTGGATCCACCGCTGGGGGGCCCCACTCAAGGTCATCACAGATAAAGGCAAAGAATTTAACAACAAGGTACAACTAAACTGGAATAATGTACCCAATTAATATTAACAGTAATAATCTAACCAAATATGATTACTGATGGTTTAACTGGGTTAGTTTATGATAGCGATCCTTTTGCACAGAAACTGAACGAGCAGATCTGTGAGAAGTTTGGTATTCGCCACCTGGTGACAGCAGCTTACCACCCACAAACCGACGGCCAAGACGAGTGTACAAAAGGGTCTTTGAAACGCCATCTCTCAAAGGCAAATACTGCAGCCAGCAAACATTGGAATATCAACATCTCAATAATCAATAAAAATAGCAAATACAAATCCTTCAGAGCTTAACAGTGATGTAATACATCGTTAACAAAAAGTGGATTCTGTGCTTGGGAGAGCCTGTTTAATTTCAGAAAACTGAGAATGAATAGACTTGAGGTCATTGTGTTTGTAGGTGGTCAATGAGCAGCAGGACGACTGGCACCTCTATCTTGAGCAGGCTTGTTGGAGTCTCCGATCATCCTTCAACAAGACAGGGATGGCTCAATGATCACATCATTGAAAAATCACAAAGTCTGCTGGCAGCCCAGTTCCCACATGTGGACAGCCTTCACAGTGTGTGCCTGCTGGACGCTAGTGCACGGTTGTCAGCGACTTTGGGCTCACCTGACCGCGAGTGGGTCAAAATTTTCAATGTGAACGGCAACCACTGGGTCACAGCCAGCAACATAAACACTGGGAGCAGTGTGCAGATGTACGATAGCCTCTACACCAGCCGAGCATCACAGAACATGATAAAACAGCTGTCTGTTCTG